TACAAGTTGATGGCAACAATGAGAATGAAAATCTATTTGTCCTGGTAACTGTTCTATACATATCTATCCAATCTATCGATACAAGTCGTTAAAAGAAATTGATATTCTCAGGTCAAAAATATGGCCAAGGCCGAGGACGTACTGTAACGTGTGTTCTCCGTCTTCAAGTTCACAAAATTAGCATCAGTTACAGTAGAACAAAGCAAAATGAAAACTGTAATCAAATAATTTTCTAATATTTCATTAACTGCTCCAGCTGTGACTTCATCGTTCAAGTTTCTACACTGAGCCGTCTGTCTCCTGATGTTCCAGTTCATGAATGTTTGACAGAGCAGAAAAACAGAAAAATAAAAAAAAGTTTTACTTCATGAAAGTCACTTTCACCTTGTCATATATACATATATCCTTCCATATACATGAGTTCATCAAAGACTGGAGGCTCAGGGTTAGGGTTAGGAGGAGTTGCAGTAACTGCTGACTCACAGGAAAGCTCATTTTGAGACGTTAAATCAACGCCCAGAGCTCACAGTCATGTGAACACGTGACAGTGGGAGTGACCTGCAGTATGTGCTATATCCAAGTGGACTGGAGTTGAACACATTCAAAGAATCTGGCTCACTGCACAGCACGCCTGGCCACAGGGCTCGTTGGCAGGAGTGAATGGAAAGAAAAGGTGCTGTGAGGAGTAAGTCAGGGAGAATGGGAGAGACTTTTCTTTAAAAAAAAAAAAAAAACACAAACAGCAGGTCCACAAGTTACTTAAAGTCAGTAAAGTACCAGGACAATAGAGTACCAGGTCAGTACTGCACCGGGTCAGTAAAGTACCTGGACAGTAAAGTACCAGGACAGTACTGCAACAGGTCAGTTCTGTCATGGGCAGTGGTGGCTTAGTGGTTAAGGAAGCGGACATGAGTCCAGAAGGTTTCAGGTTCGAGTCCACCAGCTGCCAAGTTACCTACTACGACACTGATACGTGGACATCTATTTGAATGGACACCTTTATGACACTGACTGGTCATTGTATTGACTGTATGTTTATTTATAATTACCGCCCCCCCCCCATTTTTGTTTATATGACATTTACATGTCATACAGACACAGCTCAGTCAGATAAACACTGTTTCAGACACAGTTCCTTCTTGACATTTGGCCGTTTGTTTGCAGAACACACTGAGAGGAACGGCCACAGAAGTGCAGGATTTGCTTGTCCAGCAGTTTTTCATCCGTACACAGAGGACAAAACCACAGCATTGTGAGAAACTGGGCTCAGTGTCTTTGTTCAAAGCTGAGCCTGCATCATTGTGTTACTGCACTTCTGGGGATGATGGACATTCTTCCACTCTCTCCCCTCCTCCATTTCTTCAATCTGATTAAAACCACAATAGTTGTAATAGTTGTTTATTTGGAGGCTATGGTCGAGATGAGGGATTATCTCCTCCACAGCTGTCAGTGCTGACCCCCTCCATTCTTAAACGCCTGTATCTGAAACAATAGTTCAGTCAAAAACCATGAAGAGAAAATATATATCCACCACCAAAACCCATTACCATGATATGTCAGATCAGTTCAAGGAGCCGACAACTGCATATAATGTGTTCCAGTCGAGTTCATGTTCTTAATGAACTCAACACAGACACACTGATATATAAAGACGTCCACAGAAAAAACAAGAGGCTGCAGAGAAATCAAGGACTGTAATAAACCAGGGATTATTCTGGAGTTCCAGTTAATCCCAGCATGCATCAGGTCGGACAGATCTGCTGGACTGACAGGTTTCATAAACTGTGTCAAACAAATCTGTGACATTACAGAGGGGTGTCTGCACAGACTGTCCAGCTGAACTGTTTTTCATTTACCCTTCTGTTTGACTACACGTTTGGGGCAAAAACAGCAGTATAGTTTGTATTGGGGTGGGTATCTAAGGGCAGTGGTGGCTTGGTGGTTAAGGAAGCAGACGCAGGCCTACAATGTTAAATGATCTCATGGACTTGTTAACTTTGAACAACTTCCTTCAATGTATTTATAGCACAGAGAACCAGGCATCGGTGAGAACGGTGGAAAAAAGCTTAGTGCCAAAACACTCTCCTCCATGACTGAGCTGAGGTTCCATTAGATCTGCAAACAGCACAACAGGAAAATGTTGCCATGCATGAAAAGGACTCAAACAGAACAAAGACATGATGGAGCACAATTTATAATGAATTCTGTTTTTTAAGAACTGTGTGCGTTACATTATTAATCAAAATCTTAAAGATAATAAGTTCATAACAGTAATGGTAGGGTTAGTACTTCTTCATGAAAATTAACATTTATGTTTGGCATTTGTTCCTGACAAAATGTAACTGCATTAAAACATAACTGCATTCACACAGAATAAAGATTGAAATGAAGATGAGATTACATTTGTCTAACCTGCAATTAACAATATCTGCAAATTATTTTAATTCACTCATTTTAAAGACAGACAGTCTGAGTCTGTCTCAGAAGGCAATAAACTGATGTTCCAAATGTTTTTTGTCTCATAATATACAGTAATATGTTGTAGAAATGAGTTGATTTGATGAGATGCAGATAAGAATGAGAGTAAGTTAAAAAAATGCTTAACTTTGCCTCTTTTCTTGAGACTCATCGCTTATAAAAAAAAAAAACGGTCCAACACAAATGTCAAATGTGCTTGATGCTAGAAAATCTAAGGATTAAAGACGTTAGCAAGCCTTTCCTAAGCCTTTCCCAAGTCCTGAAGGTATGTTGAGAATAAACTTTCAAAAAAGGATGAGTCATCAAACAGCAGTTCGTTGACCAGTCACTGGAGCCTTAAATGTTTGAGAAGGATATGAATCCAAAAGCATTTTTTAAATGTTTCAGAGCTGACAGAGCAGCACTGACACAGGTACATGACCACTCGTCAGTGGTTATATAGACTAACCCTAACCCAGTACAACAGGAAAGGAAATCAATACCCTGCACACTAAAGGGCCGATGAGGGAGCCATTAATCAGGGGGAGGGGCTGGACCTACACAGATTGTGTTGAAGTGAGTGGCTAAAAGCTTCGACCTCTATGATGTCATCCCCAGAGATGTACAACAAGATGTTTATCATGGGCTGATTTAAAATTCATTTTGTTTTTTTGATGAAGGGAAATAATTAATGTCTGACAGTTTCACTGCTCTCCTGTGGTAGATCAAGCCCTGCTAGAGTTTGCTGTGAAGACACAGGAAGTTGCCAGGGGTTGGAACAGATGTCATACAGGATGTGAAAAAAGCTGGGCTTCAAAGTGCATAAAAGAAGAGTTGGTTGCAGAATAACCATGACCTGCGTAGACCACCAGCAGGTTAGGCTGTGACCACTGAGGTTCCATGGTGAACAGCTGGTTCTGACATCATCCAGCAGGGTGAGAGTTGAACGCCCTCCTGACGGGATCTCACCCGGCAGCATGCAGGGCCGTTAATCTTTATTTATTTAAGAAGGAAATGAAAATAAGCCTGGTGCTCATGGCGACGGTAAACCAAGACTGAGGTCTTCACACTGTTACTGCTGCTGTTACTGCTGTTACTGTT